GTGTGTGTGTGTGTTTGCATGTAGGTGTGTGTGTGTGTTTGTCTGTACGTGTGTGTGTGTGTGTGTGTGTGTGTGTGTGTGTGTGTGTGTGTTATGTTTCTATTACGTGGCTTCTGTGACCATGTCGCAGCATGTTGCGTCGGAAGGTGTGCTTATAAACAACATCGGAAAAGAGCCCGCAGCCCAGGATGCCCATAGAAAAGAATGCTTATAAAGCCTAGCTTTCAAAAGTCATGAAACGAAAAACGAACTGAGCAGCGGTAAGACAAGTACAACAAGACAAACAAAAACGCAAGGCTGAGGTCACGGTACTTGGATGACACACCGCAACAAAGAAGAAAGGGGGAGGGCAAGGGGGAGGCGGGCGGGCAGACAAACAGCACTAGGCAGAAGAATGAGGTCGCGGCAACGAGGCAACAAGATAGACAAAAGAACATAGCAAAAAAAACAAAGAGAAAAAAACAAAAGATGAAAGACTGTTTCGTTGGAGTTACACCGACTCATCAGGAGGTTGAACCCTCAACAATTGATGGTTTGCGCCATGAACCCTTTGACCCTTGTTAAAGGCAGAGTATCCCCAAGCGGAACATAGCAGCGGGCAGCAACCCTGTGGAGCACCAGGCAACAAAGTAGAGGCAACACGGCTGCACAACAGCCAAAACGACTGCAAGAAACGACATGGCACACCGGGCATCCAGTGCGGCAACAGTGCAGTGAAGCACAAGACAACACCAACAAGGCAACAACACTGCAAAGGATAACAGGGCAAGCGGACCAGCAGGGCGGCCACAGTGGAGCGGAGCACAAGGCACCAGCAACAAGGCAACCAACCTACAGGGCACCGATGTGACACCCGCGACCTAGGCCGCGGGCATTTCGGCCGTTGAGGCCGAGAATCTCGGTCGCGGTTGTGGCCAATCAGGCCCAGTCCGCGGCCTGGTTTTTATAAATATATTTTTTACCCCTAAAAATACTCAAAAAAATAAAATAAAAAATGAGGATGTAGGGCTTGGAAAACCCTACACTCCTGTATTTTTTGTTTTGGAATCAAACTTTGTTTAATATTTAAAAAAAATAAAAAACTAAATTCAATTTAAACAAATATATACATATATATATATAAAGAATATCAAGATTTTTTTTTTGTCATTTTTTATCATGAGATATATGGTCCCTGAGCAGTGTCGTCGCCCGTATGTCGTATAGGGGGTCTTTGTACGGCCCATGCGTACAGACGGACGAACGGTCGTACGGGCTTACGGACGACGGTCGTCCGAAGGTGTTTTAGGGGCAAAAAAAAATTAAAAAAAAACATTAAAAATATGAGGTTGTAGATCTTTTTGAGATCTACAACCTTTTTTTTCTCTATTTTTTGCCCTTAAAGAGGATTTTTAAAAAATCAAAAACAAAAAAAAAAAGAAAAAAACAGAAAAAAAAAAAATTGATAGGAAAAAAAACGGGCAGTTGCCCAGGTAAGCCCGACCCTCCTTCTCTATCTTCCTCTCGATTCGCTGCGAACTTCAATCTCTTCTACCTTGTCTTCTCCCTGCTTCCTCTTCCTTAGTCACCCATCCCCTTCTTTCTTTCTCCTCGTCGGGTTTTTTTTTTTTTTTTTTCTTAATTTTTTCTTTCGATTTCATTGCTCTTCCCTCGTACCCCGCGCACCTCTGTTTCTTACCGCGCCAAAATTTGCATGCCAACCCGGAATCTAACACCTCCAGTCATCTCGCAATACTAAAAAACCTCGAAATCGAATCTTTGCTCGCTTGATTCCGCTAAGGAACGAGCGAGATATCTGTTTTTGCCCCAATCACATCGACTTGCTTTCCACACCCCCGCACACTCATGTTCTCTTCTAACTCCTTTCCCACTATACTTATGCCAAAACTAACGTCATTATTGCAGTTGCCCTGCCCAAAAACGTTAGAGTAGTGCTCTCCCTCACCTAGTTCTGAGGTTCGCAGCGAATGGAGAGGGAGATCGAAAAGGAGGGCCGGGCTTAGCTGGTCGAAATGCCGCGCGCGTTCGTGTGTGTGTGTGTGTGTGTGTGTGTGTGTGTGT